AGTAGCTCTGTACTTCCGATCTTGCTTGGTAGCACATCAAGTGAAAACTCAAAAGTTTATCAAACTTGATGAATCTGTTTGGTGCTCGATACGATCGTTTAACACCCCGAGATGTCTATTTAGGGTAATCTACAGAAAGCCCAGTGGGATTATTCCGCACTACTCGTCTTAGGGACTCTGGCACCACTACTCTATCTCAAAACATCAAGCATTCGTTTACGATACATAATGAGTCCCGACGGTGGCAAATCTGCTTCAAGTCACCATCGAGTCCAGTTGGCGGCCAGCTATTGTTGACGTATTTCATCGCTCTGTTTATGATTGAGTCGTTCTTGGATGCAGATTGTATCTCAGCTGCTGAGGCTGGCAAAGCACGAATAGCGGTTGTCAAATAACATTGCGCGTAGTCCTCTGTCATTAAGGAGGCAATAACTGTATCTTCGCCGGCCGTAGGGTGTTAGCTGATAAGTCGTGACAAGGCGTCAGCCTGACCAAAATGTTGAGTGCGCCGATACTGAATGTCAAAATCATAACCGAGAAGTATCAAAGCCCATCACTGGCGACGGTTTGCAGAGTGAGCTGGAACACCAGATTTTGATCCGAAAATTGTGAGAAGAGGCTTTTGATCAGTGAGAAGAGTAAATCTTCAACCGTACAAGAATTTGTTGAAACGGCGTACTGCAAACACAAGGGCCAGAGCCTCTTTTTTATTTGGCTGTACTTTCTTTTCTCTGGATTTAACGTGCGAGATGCATGCATAATAGCTTTCTCTGTTGCGTCCGGGAACTGGTGTGAAATGACAGCACGGAGTTCAAAAGCAGGAGCGTCTGCAGCGACAATGGACGGATCGTAATGCGTCAGTAATAGCTCAAAGCTTATGATTGTTTTCAACTTGCAAAATCCAGCTTCACATTCTCCCGTTCTGTTCCAGCTGGTATTCTTATTCAGAAAATAACAGCCGGGCGTATTTGTCATGCATTGATGGAACAAAAACTGAGTAGTAGCTTATTCGTCCCAGGAATGATCGTAGCTCAGAGATATTGGTGGGAGTCAGCATCTGTTTTATAGCTCGGATGTTTTCAGGATCTGGTCTGCGACCTGCGGCATCAAAGATGAATGCCTAGTATTTACCTGACTTCAAGAAAAGCTGGCATTTTTCTAAGCGTTATCTTTGATGCGTTGTAGTACAGTTGTCGTGCGTTCTCTAAGCTGTTTTAACGATGTGGCGACAATTAAGTTATCATCGAGATAAGTTGCGACCGCCGGGATACCCGATAGAATGGTATCCATTAGTTGCTGAAAAATAGATGGAGCTGATTTAACACCAAATGGTAGGCGATTGTACTGAAACAAGCCACGATGAGTATTTATGGTAAGTAACTCTTTCGAATCTTCAGTCACTTTTACTTGTAAATAGGCATCAGCGAGATCCAGCTTTGTAAAGAACTTAGCATCATTTAACATCGTGGGAAAATCTGCAGGGACTTGCAGTGGGTAATGATGCTGTTCGAGAGCGGCGTTAAGACCTGTGGAAAAATCTGCGCATATTCGGATTGTGCCATTAACCTTCTTAATAACCACAATGAGTACTGTTCAGGCGGAATAAGAAACAGGTGTAATAACTCCTTGTAGTTGAAGGCGGTTAAGTTCTTCATCAACTTTCGATAATGCTGAGTACGGCACTGGTCTCTTTGGACGGAAGACAGATTTAGCTCCAGGTTTCAACCGAAGTGTTGCTTTCATAGCAGTGCACTGACCCAATACAGGCTGGAAAATGGTTGAAAACTCCGTCGTTAGTTCTTTCGAATATGCTTCAGGTTCATGAGGTTGTTTCACCAGACGGCATATGGTGCTTAACGGAACGTCAGCTAAATGTAGCTGGTCAAACCAGTCTAACCCAAGTAGATTAAGATCAGCTGGTGTGATGTAACATAACCCGTAAACGTGGAATCGTGAAAAGACACATTACAATCTAGTTGTCCCAACAAACGTCGATAATTACCGCATGCGGTTTCGAGGTTTCTGTGTTGTTGGCACCAAGCGTGGTCTTCCCATTCTGATCCAATATTTTCGTGAGAGAATTGTTACATCAGATGCAGTGTCTATTTGCAATCTTAGAGGGTGCCCATTAATATTAAGGTTAATAAATTTCCTCTCAACTGGGGTTGAGTTCTTACAGCTTGCTATTAGACTCATCGAATTCGTGTTGGATGTAGGCGTAGTTTTCTGGTACCTCTGGAGCTGCTCGGCTTCTTTTGTCGACAAAACCATCTTTATGACCCACTGCATTACATTTCCTGCACCGATGTTGCTTATATGGACAGTATCTAACAAAATGCCATGCACCGCAGTGCCAGCATGGGGCAGGAGGATTTGTTTTTGTCTGCTAACCTGAACTAGATGTCGCTGGGGCAGATTTATACGAGTTGCGTGGTTGTTGGACTACATGAACTTCGGTAAGATCTGAATCATCACGTTGGATCATCGTAGTATCACGCTGTAGATTGATCAGGCGTTGATATTCGTTTGCAATATCATTAAGGGTTAGTTTTGGGTCTTGGTCCAATTGACTTAGCAAACGTGTTCTAATGTCATTGAACTTCTGCGATTGAAGGCTGAAGATGAGAATGAGGGCTTTAAATTGGTCTTCAGCAAGCGACTTCAACCGGAAGCGTTCATATTCTCGGTTGACGATACCCACATGTGTGAAAAAATCATCATCTTCGTTCATAGTGAGCTTCAAACATAGATAGCGCGCATTGAATGGTGAGGATTTGTCTCCGAATTGTTGGCTCAATGACTGAACATTGTCCGAGAATGAACGATCGCGTGGGTTTAAAGGCAGGATTAGGTTGCAAAACCTGTTTAGTTCACTAGGACCCAACTTTCTGAGCAGCAAGCGGACCTTCCAAGCATCATCCTGATTAGCAAAGTCAAATTTGAATAAGTCTTCGTAACGTCGAAACCACATATCAAACGTGACATTGGATTCTGGATCTTAATGAAACTCGGAGATACTGTTAGCGATACCATCAACTGATGGTGCAGTATTAGTAGGATTAGAACTGCTTGGTTGAGAATTAGACGTAAGCTTTGCATCTGCTAACATCTGGATAAGTTTCATCTGCTGCTTGAATAATAGTTGAAGTTTGGAAGGATTCATGTTTCCGAAATCACTGTCGCCAAATTGTTAGGTTTGAAGCTTCACGAGTTCTCTTAATCGGCGAACGAGAACAAGACTCAATTACCAAAGACTAGTAATCTAGCTATTGACGCGTCCCAGCCGCGCTATCTAGAACGAGAAGTCCAAGCTTGGTATGGAAAATTTATTCTGCAAACAGCCAGAAAACGAGCAAGCCCACAAACACAATTTAAAACTTATATACACAAATATATATAATCGATATTGTCATAGTAAAATGTTTTTAGACATGACTCATTAAGTTCATCAATCGATAGGCATTCAAATATTTAATCGATAAGTTCATCAATTGACTGCTATTTAATCATTTAATCGATAAGTTCATCAATTGACTTCCATTCAAATATTTAAACATTTGATCGATAAGTTAATCGATATGATAAAATTACAAATACGAATTTTGGGGATATACCGTCCCCAACAGTGATGCTTTCACATTCAGTAGGCCGAGGAGTATTACTGGAAAATCGGAAGCTGGCCCACATCACACTAATTTTCAATGGAGGTCGATGCAGAGAAACTTCAGGTCATTAACCGGTGGCACTTTTCTTTATATCCTCGAAACTTATGGAGTCCCTGATATGTGACGGTATACAAGACTATTCGCTACCTATAAACTTCTTTTTACTAAAACAGCACGGTTTCAGAGATGATCACTCTTGTATAATCAACCTACTGACCGCGTAGGACAGATAGACAACCATCCTTGGTCTCAGGGCGAAGGTTGACATCATATGTCTTGACTTCCCAAAAGCCTTTGATACGGTCAACCATATGTGTCTTATCACTAGGCTCAGAGGATTAGGTATCAAGTCACCTCTAATTGATCGGTTCACTCCACATCTAAAAATGTGAAACTCTGGAGAAAGGTATGCAACGAAGAGGATAAACCGGCACTTCAGGAGGATTTAACTCGACTTCATAGTTGGGCAGATGACAACAGACTCGCCTTTAACAAGTCAAAATATAGGGTAGTCCATTTGAGACATATTTTAGACTACGAAAACAACTTAGGTAACTCCTCTCTAAAAGTATCCTGAGTTTAAAAAGATCTAAGAGTGTTGGTACCCTACGATTTGAAGTCTTACACCGAGACAAAAATGCCTTTCGAGCAAACTCTGCATTGGCAACTTTGAAGGGTATTTTCGACCAGTTCGATGGAAGAACGTTCGACATAATTTTCAACAGTTCTATTCATTTCCATTCAAAGTGCGGAAACATAGTGTTTCCATCTCGCTCGGAAAGAATAAGGACACATTGGGACGTATCCAACGGCCAGCCATGAAATCTTCTCAGGAACTCAAATTCGAGTCTTATGGAAAACGTCTACAATCATTGAACCCCCACTCACTAGTGTACAGGCTTCTTTGAGGTGACATTCTAATGAGTTATAGTATGCTAAACAATTCTGAGCATCCCCTTTAGCACCACTTAAGCCTAGTCCCAATACAAACCATAGGGGTAACACCTAGAAACTGAAGACGCAACATGGAAGAACGGTAAGTATGCGCATCTTATGCTCCTTTAGGGTAGTCAAATGCTAGGATTCGTTTCTAGACGAACTAGTTCAAACTACTTTTCGAGAACTCTCCAAGAGAAAACTTGACATATTCTTAAGGATTAAGGACAGTATCTCACTATAATTTACCGAATTTCCTTCTCTTTTACCGTTAAATATTCCTAGGGTCTTACCTGGAGGCATTGGTGATTCACTGCTACTATATATGGAAGCCCATTAAACGAAAGATTCTTCTATTCCATCCAGAACCATTTGAACCATTTGAAACATTTAGTGTCAAGATATGAAAAGCGGTAAAAAATGCAGGTGATGGTTAAGAGATTCAAAATGATCCGGGGAAATTATCTGAACGACCTAGAATTCTGAAGTTGCCAAGTGAGAGTCTACCATTGACTCTAAGATATTGCCTATTGTATTTTTGGCGGAAAGTTCGTTCTGTGTTCAAGGTGTGTGTAGAAATATCTCTATAAAAGCCACTGTTCCTTTGATATTTTATTCTTGCGTCCAGTCAAGCCATAATCAAGCCAAATCTTATATGCTCTTAGGACTTTAAGCCGTCTGACAAATGTGAGTAACTGAATGTTTTATTTACGGATATTCTGGTCCAGTGAATGTGGAAGTCTTTAACGATGGGTACTGTCTACCTCGTGTATAAACTAAAAACCCACTCAAAAATGTTGGTATGTAGTAGCGCTAGTAAGCTATTAGTCCATAGATTTGACGTTTTTAAGATATGCTTAGATATTTCTGTAGTGCTTTCGCTCATGTTTTTTAATGCTTTTGAGGCCTAAAATGGGCTTCAACCTAATATTCGTTACAATGGTGCACAAATCACATCATCTTTTGCTTTGTGGAACACATTCACATGGCAATTAAGAATAGAAAGTCAGAACTGGGTGAGAATATAATTTGTGAACAACCTTTAAGTGGCTCTGAGAAGATTTTGAGAATGTCCATCTACATGCTGCGGTTAAATGAGGGTTATAAACCAGTGTGAGGAATTTAGGATCAATATTTACAGTTGATAGGTAGGGTTAAAAATTAGATTTAGGGCTTTCGTCACGAACTCTGTTTAGCCAAATGAATAAATTAGTTTCGCGCCAAAATTCAAGACCTGTTACCGTAAATCTAATTGTTTCGTCCATAAATTATAGTCTCGTCTGATTCATCTCTCCTATCTTTTCACTTTGAGTGTTGATTTTGTTCCGTACTCATGATTTCTGCTCCTTAGAAGCGTAAATGGCTTGAGTCCACAAAGGCATGTTCGTACTTTTAGTTTTAGAGGCGCAGTGTATGTTAATCACACTTTAATTAGTCTTTATGAGAGTTCACCTTAAACCCACTTCAAGATTTCAGCAGCTAGGAATGGTGGAAAGACGGTTTATGCAGAAAACCAAACTGTATTTTGTACTCTGAATATGTAATGTGGAACTCCATGATAATACTACGTAGTACCTGGCACTTGTAAACCAGTTAGGTTTGTCGTGCTACAATAACACAATAAAATATAACTATTAAGACAAGCCATAAAATAGAAGTAATGTGTCCATAATGGTGAAAAAGACTAGGTATGGTATGCTTTCTCTCTAAACATCATTTTTTTCCAAGAACTAAGTATTAATCGGTAGTTTAGCCTTCTGTTACCAGTTCAGTTATTAAAAGCATATGTGCTTATGGCTAATTTTCTTGTCGTCCTTGATATGAGATCTGAGCAAAGAAAGGGGTACTCATCATAAATCGAAAACGGTATGCTCTTACTGTTCCATGATTTCGCAACTTGTTAAAAAATATTACGAGGTCATAAACCGGCTTTATCGTAAACTTCATTTGGTTTTGATAAGCCAAGCCCGCCCAGGCTTCCAGACGTATTAATGAATAATACCAGAGAAGTGAGCCTTGCATAAATAGAAATTATCGCCTCAGTGATTTTTTAAGTCACACTAAAGTGGTCGTTACCCAGTCAATTATTTTTTTATCATATGTGACTATTTGTTTTCCACTATAAACGCAAGTTAACTTAAGGGAATTTGGTACCACAAAAGCAGGACGTCGGGTAATATTGTATTTATTCTAATGACTACGTATTTTCGTGGCTTATGATAAAAAATATAGCTATCGTACTGTTATAATGCCGCGAATCCCGCCCATTTTCAACAATCCTATTGTAAATCAAGACAATTTATGTAAAAACCTTGAAAATCTTAGGTTGGAATTGTTTATATTTTACAGAAGTAATTGTTCCTACAATGGATCTCGTCAAAGCAGAAATAGCGAGGCAACGTGAGAAGCTAGTTAGCAGCGGATTGGTATGTATAGAAATCCTGGTTTTCGTTGTAATTTAGATGAAGTGTGATAAAAAGTTCTTTAAGCGTTCACTATTAAAACAAAAAGAAGAAGAGGAATATTTCAGCAAATCTAAACGCATTAAAGAACAAGCGAATAACAATGAGGACTATAATTTTAGAATTAAAGTGTGTGTCCATTTCCGAGTGGATAATGTTTTTGATAGACAGAAGAGGAGGATCTGTTGTTGAAAAAGTTCGAAGAAAGAAGTCGGGAAGAAAGAGAAAAAGGGAAGCTTATGCCTCGTAAAGAAGTAATTTCGTGTGTTCTTCTGAAACTTCGTTTTTAGGTTATTCGTCTTCTAAGGGAACGTAATCAACCCATACGATTATTCGGTGAAAGTGACTATGACACTTTCCAACGGTTGAAAAGGGTTCAACTTTTAGAACCTGAATCAAAAGGATTACGCAATGATCTAATTGCAGCACTAGATAAGGTAGTTTATTAGAACTCCTATTATTTTTGTTAGTTAGATGATGCTGAGGATGAAGAGTTTTATACCTCAGGTCGTGGAAAATCAGCTTCTGAATCTCAGTCCGTTGATAGCTCATCAACCTCTACCCTGGATGTAAAAACAAAAGAAAATGTATTAACAGAAGACGAACTTGAGAAGATAAAGATAGATTTAGCCCGTTATGTCACAATGAAAGAGGGTACTGCTACTGATGACGCAACGACTGCGGTTGTTACTATTAGTAAACTTGCCCCAGATATTGTATGTACCAATGATTTTGACGAGGGGTTTCATGATCAAGTGATCGATCACACCCTTCGCTATTTGAAGGTGAGCTTCTCAACCTTTAATAACCGCATATTTGTCAAAATATTTTTATCAGTTTGAATTATGTTTTACTAGTGATAAATCCATTGTACTTTTAACAATTTAATTACAATGAATCCAATCTTATGGCATGCAGTGTATGGTAAAATGTTCAAGCGTAACCTTACCAGATTCCTTATTGTTTATGGTTCTGAGTTTTTATAACTCCTTTCTATGGTGAACATATGGTTGTGAATTATAACTCGTAGTGAATAAGTGGAAATCACTTTCGCCATGTTAATGCGTCGGCTACAATGTGCTTGAGATAGTGTTTCTTCATGAACCAAATTGATCATTATTCGCATATTGTTAGTTCAAATTCCAATGTTATTAAAAATAAGTGATAAATGAAAATATTGGTCGAAGTAACAGGTCAGTTGTTGGAACCAATTATAAAGCGAAATTAATGAAAAACACTGAATTTATGGATGTCTCTTACTCACTCAAGACACCCCCGTCAAGATTTACTCCAAGTTTTCTGACTTCAAGTTTAAAAATACGGTAAATGGCTTTTCATTATCAAGTTAGTTTATCCAACCAGAACACAGTACACACAAAACAAGCCCTTAGGTACCCTGAAGGTTTCAGTTGTAACGAAACAAAGCTTATGATCATATTACTGCTGGTCAGATTATGTGATAAATACAGAGACAAAAAATTGGCTGACATACTGTCTTCGCTCTCCGAGATACAGCAGTGACAAATATGTCAGGTTTTATTGGTTATGTGGATTCAATATATGAAAGAAATAAAAGAAAACGAGGAAAAATACGAGGAAAGCTAGAATTGTTAATGCTTTACGAATGTCACCACAGAGGTAGCTGTCGTAACAGATAGATAACTGACCAATATCCGAAGTCCCAAATTAATTGCATGCTCAATAACCTGCTGATTTCACTGCGTGGAAATCGTACGTTACACAATTTGTAGTCAGTTTCATCTTGTAAGTTTTTACATATGAAAGTGTTTCATTACGCTCACAAAATGAAGAATAATGCAATTTTGATCGTGTGGTTAACTATTCAGTCTTTTATTATGTTATTTGTTTGAAGACTCATTGAATGTAACGAACGAGCAGACTCAAACTTGTAAATAAATATCACTCATATTATCATTCACATAATCAGTTAGTGAATGTCCCATCGTTTTAAGCGTAGATTCGTGATTATAACACTTCAAAACTGTAAGTTATTACAAACAAACTGCTAACATGTATTCACTGGAGTAAAACGACTAGTCGGTGTTTAAATGATCTGTATATCATGAATATAGATTCTAACCTTGTTTAACATAAATATCCAGATGTTAGGGATTATACAGGAGTTTATTTATTTAATTATTTATTTTATATTGATAGTATGCAGTCTCTAGTAGTTCTTTTAGTTGCTCAGGTGTGGATGTCGCTTCAGTAAATGATTAATGAGTTTAATAACTAGTCGTTAATACCATGTGTCCTGTGTTTTCAACAATCATCATGGAAATAGTTTCTTCCCATTCTTCACAGCTTATCATGAAAAGTAAGATGGTTAACTGTAGAAACTGATGGTACACAATACGATTGGATAGTGATTGACTATTAATTCTTGTAATCATTTGTAAAAGCATTTCAGGTTGAGATTTAGATTACGAATCGTTCTGATTATATGACGACAGTGAACCACCAGATCTGGGTTCAGGAGCAACCTAAGTTTTATGGTTATGGATGTGACTGGGGAGTTTTTGCTGACTTAGTTGCACAAAAATAAATAACTTTGTTTCCACTCATTTCCATTTTGTTTGTGCCCTAATACCTTTTGCTTTTGTAACTTCACGAACTGTTACAACAAGTTTAAATGTACAGTTGTAAGTTTTTGTGTCCTACCAAATCTGTATCTTTCTGTCTTTTCCATTTATGTCGAGTCGTATATACCCGCCTGTTTTTTAGTAGTAAATTGCATTGTGTCTGGTTAAAGAAGACCCAACTGCATATAATTCGTTGCGAGTTCCTATTCTTGACCAGTTACTAGATGCCAGTTACTGGTCTACAACAATGATCATATGCCAAGCATTCCACGGTCTGTAAATGTATATGCATGCTGAAGTCAGTGGTTGTCTTAAATCTGTTTAAAAATTTAGTTTAGTTAAGTATGAGGATATCACTTTTAGCCGAATTAACCATATTTAGTAACAGTAAGATTTGGTTAATAACGAGTTGGTTCACAATGGGATCTTTTCTTGATTATAAAAGCAAGTAATAATCTCCCTGTTTCTTATAATTTTTTTGTAAAGGATTATTTATACGAACTTCCTCATTTTTGCATAGTTATTCAATAACATGATAGTTTGTTATACTGCAAGCTGATTTTATTTTCGCTTAGTTCCTCTTGTCAAAATGGGGTCATGCTTTGAATACTAGAACTAAAGAAGAAAAACTATCTTATTCTGGAAAAATGGCTAGTGCAACATATACCCAAACAGTAGAGTATATTAAACCACTTCTTCGTACACTTCAGAATAATGTAAGTCTATTCATTCATTAATAGTATCACATTCATTTTAGCGTTGCAAAGATGATATTTTGAATTCCTTGGTTAAAATCATGGTTTTGATGATTGATCGGAACTACCTAAAGGTTAGTTGAACTGTCTTTCTGCTTTTTATGTTTTATGAAATATATAGGCAATTATTAAGTGTTTTTTCTGGATTGTGATGAAATAAACTAATGTCGGGTCGGTATATCAGCATACTAGTGTTTATCCTTCTTACTGAATAATCATTGATCTTGATCACAATTCCATAAAATAACTTTTGCTCCATGTCATTATTTCATTTCCTCAGGTTTCATCCACTTGTATGATATTTCATCGCGACTGTTGCTGCTACCTTGACGTGGTGGTTGAGCTTGCCTATCATGATGACTCAACTGAGTTATACTGGCTAAAACGCATGTATCTTTAGGTCTTATCATGTCAGCCAGGTTGGTTGGAGAACTGTAAGACTATAAACAACAACTTAAGGTCCAAGGTTGAAGTTATACTGCTGACTGTGGAAGGATTTGACAGCAGTGAGGTGTTTACCTCGGACAACCGGCATCTCCAACAATGCTCTCTTCCCACAACGGAAGGAGGGGGTAGATAAGGTCAATTCTAGAAATGTCACACCTCACTTTACCCCACGAATTTCCGTCTCCGGCAGTGAGGCTATTAGTAGTGCGGAGCTAACTCGCCACTAATTCAGCTTCTTTCTCAAATCCCTTAAGAATAAATGTCCTTCCACGATTTGTGCAATCGGGAAGTGACGACCACACTCATGATTCTATCAGCACCCGAGATCATCTTGTTGACGATCGAATCGCTCTCTCACCTCTTAATAGTTCTTCCATCTCCGTGACTAACCCTTTTGATTGATCTGTATCACCACGCGCCACCAGTGTTAGTGATTTGAGTTAAAGAAATATTATTTCCAGTTTCTTGAAACCACGCTCGAAACTGCATGTTGGAGCTTTTAATGTTTGAACTTTGTGTCAGACAGGAACCCAGGCTTGTTTAAATAGAACTCAAGAACCTCGCGTCATCGATATATGCTGCATTTCCGAAATGCGGATACAGGATCCAAGTACAGTGTTATAACAGTAGGATTGCTCGTCTACACAGATGGGACGTTAATTTGCCTTAGACGGATATCTACACTAGATTCCCTTCCAGCGTCTATTTTATAGGACTTTAACACAACTCAGAACAAGAACACGCGATTAGCCTGACTAGAACGCGAATATATTTCCATGCCGAAAACCGACAACAATCCTTCATCAATCACAGTAATAATAAAGGTAATAGAATATATAACTCATCTAGTACCTGCCAGACTATCTACTAGTCTGACTAAGCAAACAACCAGTCATTACCATCTTCTTTTAATAAACGGAATATACCCATTATGACATTAAATAAGAAAGAAAGATTAGTTCAGTGAATTCATTTTCAAAGCTGTACAATCGCAAATATATATACTTATTTTTACAGGGTGATAATAATACTGATAATAAACTTATGTTATACATGGTGACAGTGAGGTTAACTAAACAAAGGTATTGGAAAAAAATTTTTTTTGAAAACAAGGAAAGTTTGATAGTTAATGGCTTAGATATTCATCGGGTAAGGGTCGCTCAGCATGATAAAATAACATAAAATGTTGAAACTGAGATGAAATGTAATCGGAATGATCGTGGAAATAAAAACAAACCGGTTGGGGGTACAAGATTTGAAGGGAAGATGGAAGGTGAAGCAGGTGGCTGTAAAAGAACAAGAGTAATGAGAAAGAGAAAAATTTTTAATACATTAAGACCATGGTAAATGAAGAGGTTGTACCAGTCTCTTTTGTACACATAATCCTGGTTTTTCAAAATGTATGGCTATTGCCTCGGCAATGCAAAGAAGATGCAGTCTAATTGTCTTAGGAAGGCTTCTACTTACCTTGTAGATGACTTTGAACGCAGAGTCTGTCTTGATTGAGTGACCTGTGTTCACAAGGTGTTCGATTATTGAACTTCTTATTGAGCCGCTGCCTCCTCTTCTTAGCCATGCCGGACAATGTTCTTGAATTCTTTTGGATAAAGTACGCATCGAACGACCTATATGCCTAGCTCCACAAGAGCAGGTAAATTGGTAAATGCACATTGAATTGGTCAGATGCGATAATTTATCTTTCAGATTATTGGTGAACAGTGATCGGCTGGAGAATAATATTCGCAATGTTGCTGCGAAGAATGCTCTTTTTAAATATGAAATTCTCCTCCTTTAAGATATATGCGGCTCCATCACCTTTGAAGTCGATGTTCATGTATAAAATTTTCTTTTCTACTGCAATTGTTTGTGGTCTTGGCATTTTCGGTTTCATGTTCTTATCAATGAATACAGAAGGATATCCGTTTTTGATAAGTATCTCTTTTAAAAAACTCAATTCTTCCTCTACGACCTCGGGGCTACAGATTCTTCGTATTCTTGTGGCGAGAGTTATTATTACGTTTCTTTTTCGGCTGATGGGAACCCAACTGTGGAAATTTAATAGTTGGGCATTCCACATGGGTTTCCTGTAGATAGATCTTTTTAAAGTACCATCTTGTTTCCTTGTTATATCTACACCAAGGAAGTGAATATTTTGTTTGCTTTCAACTTCAATTGTGAATTTTATTGATGGGTGACAATTATTAAATGTATTTAGGAGATCACCTAAGTTACATTTGTTATCACAAATGATAAAGATATCATCCATATACCTTTTATATAAGTGGAGGTTTTCTATAATTCTTTTAAGTTGGTTGTTTTCTAAACTGGCCATGAAGCAATCTGCCAGTAATGGACCAAGTGGGGATCCCATTGCTATACCATCCTTCTGTCTATGAATTACGTCGTTGAATGTGAACTGTACATTGCAAGTACAACGTAGTAATAATTCCTCCAAATAAACCTCAGGTATCCCAATGTTTATCTCAGTATTGTTTATGTACTTACAGATAAAATTAATGGTTTCTGTAAGTGGGACATTAGTGAATAATGATTCCACAACCAGAGATAGCATAATTTTGCCACTTACATTCACTTCTTTTATGTGCTCGATAAATTCAAAAGTATCACGTACAGAATGTTCTGTATAGAAAACAACCAACTTAAAAGAATTATAGAAAACCTCCACTTATATAAAAGGTATATGGATGATATCTTTATCATTTGTGATAACAAATGTAACTTAAGTGATCTCCTAAATACATTTAATAATTGTCACCCATCAATAAAATTCACAATTGAAGTTGAAAGCAAACAAAATATTCACTTCCTTGGTGTAGATATAACAAGGAAACAAGATGGTACTTTAAAAAGATCTATCTACAGGAAACCCATGTGGAATGCCCAACTATTAAATTTCCACAGTTGGGTTCCCATCAGCCGAAAAAGAAACGTAATAATAACTCTCGCCACAAGAATACGAAGAATCTGTAGCCCCGAGGTCGTAGAGGAAGAATTGAGTTTTTTAAAAGAGATACTTATCAAAAACGGATATCCTTCTGTATTCATTGATAAGAACATGAAACCGAAAATGCCAAGACCACAAACAATTGCAGTAGAAAAGAAAATTTTATACATGAACATCGACTTCAAAGGTGATGGAGCCGCATATATCTTAAAGGAGGAGAATTTCATATTTAAAAAGAGCATTCTTCGCAGCAACATTGCGAATATTATTCTCCAGCCGATCACTGTTCACCAATAATCTGAAAGATAAATTATCGCATCTGACCAATTCAATGTGCATTTACCAATTTACCTGCTCTTGTGGAGCTAGGCATATAGGTCGTTCGATGCGTACTTTATCCAAAAGAATTCAAGAACATTGTCCGGCATGGCTAAGAAGAGGAGGCAGCGGCTCAATAAGAAGTTCAATAATCGAACACCTTGTGAACACAGGTCACTCAATCAAGACAGACTCTGCGTTCAAAGTCATCTACAAGGTAAGTAGAAGCCTTCCTAAGACAATTAGACTGCATCTTCTTTGCATTGCCGAGGCAATAGCCATACATTTTGAAAAACCAGGATTATGTGTACAAAAGAGACTGGTACAACCTCTTCTTTTACCATGGTCTTAATGTATTAAAATTTTTTCTCTTTCTCATTACTCTTGTTCTTTTACAGCCACCTGCTTCACCTTCCATCTTCCCTTCAAATCTTGTACCCCCAACCGGTTTGTTTTTATTTCCACGATCATTCCGATTACATTTCATCTCAGTTTCAACATTTTATGTTATTTTATCATGCTGAGCGACCCTTACCCGATGAATATCTAAGCCATTAACTATCAAACTTTCCTTGTTTTCAAAAAAATTTTTTTTCCAATACCTTTGTTTAGTTAACCTCACTGTCACCATGTATAACATAAGTTTATTATCAGTATTATTATCACCCTGTAAAAATAAGTATATATATTTGCGATTGTACAGCTTTGAAAATGAATTCGCCGAAAAGAGAACTCTTCACTGAACTAATCTTTCTTTCTTATTTAATGTCATAATGGGTATATTCCGTTTATTATTATTGTTCAACAAAAAGGCAATTATTCTCTGAAACGACTTACATCAAGTCATTAAAAGTCAGGAATTCTTTTTGGGATGTCAAAAACGTATAATTATTTTATCATTATCATTCCATAAAATGCTCAATTTATCTGGAATTATTCAACCTAACTTAGACAATGATGCTTAAAAAAAATTTCACCTTAATGTATTTCTAAGAATATTTGTGGGGAAGCTTCACACCATTAGCAAACAAATATTTGTAACCCTACTGTTCCACACTACAAAAACCGTATTTTCTACACCTCACAATATATACATAAATACACATGTATGTCTCACACAGAAACACCTTGACCGTAATGACATCAGATTGACATAATCAGACCCATTTTGATTTTGGCTTCGATAAAATATTCTACTTCCTATTATTTATAGAACTTGCGTTAATTTATCTTTACTCTTTGAAAAAGTGGTTTATACAAAGTTGTGAAGGTCGGAAATTCAATCTTCCACTTACTTGGTTTTTACGAGTACATTATTATTTCCATTATTAAAAATGTACTCGATGGTCAACTTATTCGAAATCACCAAGTCAAACATTGATAATGATACTTAAAAAAGGTATAAGGAGGTTTAGGGACTCAAGAACTAAGGGAAGGTAAAACAGTGAATACATCTGAGCCATGTTATCAACAGCTTTTAACCACTGGTTACGATAGTTACGCGGACCTTAACCAAGTAATCCTTACCAACATACAAAGCTCATTTTAACAGTTAATGACTTCATAAACTGATGCCACGTTTTGGTTTGTACGATTCATAAAAAACTGAGTCGCTAAATTTTATTGAAGTTCACTGAGTAAACTGAGTAGATGGCAGATGCAAATTACTACCAAATATCTTACATGAAAAATTTAACAAATATTACGCAGGGATAACCATTCATAATGGGTGTGATCAACAAAGATCAAAATCAAAACGTCAGTTGTCCACGGTAAGCCATACTTTCTTCACAAACATTCAGAAAGCAAAGGAACTTTGAAGAACAACACTACTTCTCCAGAGATTGTGTCTATCAATATGGGTTATTTAAACGTATACCCTATAGTACAAGCTGTGACGAGGCCAATGCAGAATTTTAAATCCTGGATAGAATTTGCCAACCATTAAAAATACAGATTTTCGTTCTTCAGTATTATTAATCTACTTGTATCTCCGTGTGCTAATGGGGTATGGCAACTTGAACCCGTGTACATACGTAACTAGTGACTTACTGATTATGTTTTACAAGATGGCAGGAGACATCTATTTAACAGTAATCTGTTCCCAATATATATGGTACAGTTGAAGCATTGTGTATAAATGAATTAATTTGATTGTGTAATGGTGAAGATTATCACATCATTCAAAACTTACAGCTTATTATCATTTATATTCTTATTTCATAAACTAATAATTGCCACATTAATACATTTGTGACTAAATATCTGTAAGTATTCCCAATTCGTATGGTTTTGAAATGATATTCATCATGATACGTTGACCCGTTCTTGCTTGTTAAAAATAATGATAATTATACTCACCTTATCACATACCATAAGTTTGGTCACAGTTAAGAATTCTTAGCTTATTGCGTGCAGTACTGCAACATAGTCTTCGCCTGTATTTGTTTGACTCGCAAATATTCGAATAAATATGCAAAAGACATTTTCAACGGTTGTCATCCTTCGATCGTATTAATCCACGAACTTTATCATCAGTTTAGGTCTTAAGGAATTTTTTTCGTCGCATTCTATATTTGGCAGATGAGTTCCAGTGTATTCGGGCCTCGTCCCTACAAAGTACAGGCAGTTAAAAAGTACCAACCACCGTGATGGTTTCTCCTGAATTCCACTGCATTTAGCTTCATGGTAGGTTGTAAGCTTTTTACAGGAGCGATTAATTCCATTGGGTAGTTAAAATACATAATTATCTAGATAAATCTAAAACAAGGAAGTAGTTGTCTCTGATTTGACCAGGTTACTAAGAAACCTATAAAGCTTACTAATTTCATAATCCATATACGATGGGTGTCTACTATTGTTAGTTTTCAGTGGTGACCAATGTTTTGATTTCTAGACAGACTATTCAGCCTATTATGCCCAATAATATACTTCACCTCTTTTTATCCTTTTAAAATATGTTTTATTTACGTTACCGTGTGTTGTTCATCACAGTATTAATCCAAATTATTCAATTAATCCCTATATATTTTCCAAAACCAGGCTTGGACGGATTTTTTCTATAAAGAGAAAATGTACGTATGATGATTATTACTCGGATTTATCTGTTTTCTTTTGTAGGCCAATGATGCTTATTTAGAATTAGCAATTGGTAATGCTCCTTGGCCGTTAGGTGTGACGAATCATGGTATTCACTCACGTACTGCGCAAGAAAAAATCTATGCCAAAAACGTAGCACACGTTCTGAACGATGAAACACAACGTAAATATATTCAAGCTATAAAAAGACTAATGACACAATGCCAAAAGTTTTTCCCATCAGACCCTTCAAAATCTGTAAATTACATGGGCACTGTGGGGTAATTTTTTATATTTCAAGTTCCACTCTTTCATTCAAAACACATTAGTGTAAATAAACTGATTTTTCATTTAGTAAAGTTGTTTACTGCATGTAAATATTACTGGTATAAATTTTGGAGAAATCTTAATATTCCTGTTCAGACTACGTCACGTAGTTCTATAACAGCTTTGATTACTTGAAAGTCTTTCATATTATGGTGATATATATTGTTGATTGATAAGGAGACAGTTGTTATAAATCTGGAAGCTTGATATGATTATCCACCTATTTTCTCAAACTCCATTATGAAGAGTTCGAAACATTATAACTAGAAAAAGCATTGTGTAGTGAAATTTAGAACCAATAGTATCCCGAGTAATTAGTCCATTTTATTTTCATTCTGGGCATTTGCAAGATAAAAATATATTTAACTTCTATTGCTGTGGTCAATCCACCACCACCGTCACTAATTTCTCTGATAAAGATACCAGAGTTTTGTTTTACAAATACATTAAAAGAGTAATCCAGGTATGTAAACAGAAAAAATGTTTCATTAACTGATCATTTTTCTAACTGAACGCTAGATTCGGTTCCTAAGCTCTTCTAGCGACCCCCAGGTTAATTCTGCACAGCGACTTGATCACGAGAGAAAAGGCGCGAAATATGGAAGAAACACTTTGCTCCAAAGGTTTGTTTATGTACAGAAAATCTAAAGTATTTGCAGTATTTTATATGGCCTTGGGCTTCCGGAAGTTTCTGGAACGCTAATAAACATAGTAGCAGTATAGGTAATTATCCTCAACAATAAGAACGGCCTATGACGAGCTAGAACAGAATTTTTATGGAGCAAGAACAGGAAAAAGATCTTGACACATACTACTGGGAACATTCATACAATCGTTGTAATGAGTATTATTGAAGTGACTGCTGTAACCACTTTCAGTAGACTCCAAAAATAACAAGATGGCAGTTAACTGAACATTGAACTTGGTTATTGTTGAGGAGATCCAGAAAAGTCCTCGAGAAAAACCAGGAAAGGCACTGAAAACACTAAGAAGCATCTTATCCAATCAGGGTTCAATAAAAGTTTTGCCGGAAATGTCTAGAACGTAGAAAGTCACATAGTGCGTTTCTGGCTGTTACTATGTTTGTTAGCGTTCCAGAAACTTCCGGAAGCCCAAGGCCATATAAAATACTACAAATACCTTAGGTTTTCTGTACATAAACAAACCTTTGGAGCAAAGTGTTTCTTCCATATTTCGCGCCTTTTCTCTCGTGATCAAGTCGCTGTGCAGAATTACCCTGGGGGTTACTAGAAGAGCTTAGGGACTGAATCTAGAGTCCAATTTGAAGTTTTATCTTTTATTTCGAACTAGAAATCTATCTTTTGATTAGGCAGTCTATGTTGATCTCATGTCCAGTTTTCATACTAAATTTAAAGAATATGCGCACAAATCTCTTACATTTTACGTTGCTTTAACCAAACGTAATTTTAATTTAATTACTTACGCCTGTTTTGAGTAAATTGTAAAATTAATATGTAGCAAGTTTACCTCAATATATCTTTATTATTTTTATGTGAACCTTTCAGTGACACTACATTGTCTAAACAATGCGTGCAGGTTTGTTTTATAGATTTTAACGTGGACTATATTCTAAATGTTAACTTGTTATTTACCCATACAATCAATGCCTACTGGTTTTAAAAGCATATTTTTATGATTGCTAGTCAAATTTCAACCCACAGGACATAAACTGATGCAAACTGTTATTCAGTTTTAATAATTGGCTGTGTACTTAATAGGTTATTGCGATGTACCGAAACAAACCATACGTGTCTCAATAAGGTTTTGTAAAAGAAAACTATATTACTTTTGACTAATAATCCATTTATTGGATGTAGCGAATTCGTCTGTTTAATTGGACGTGTGCTGAAATGTTAAGAAATTAGCGCTGGATATGTAGCCGTTTGCTCTTAATTTTATGTTATCTATCGATGTACGTCCTTGATGCCATTCACCGAAATGTTTAATTAATACATAATACTGTGCAATTGTTATCCAGTTTATTCTCACTCTTGACTTGGTTGACCCTATAAGTTATGAGCCTAAGGAACACAAATCTTCCGAAACAACCTGGAGTTCTTGATCTTATTGTATCCACACTTAAGGATCCATGTTAATAAAGATAGAATAACTGTCTGGTGAAACTAAACTTACAGTTCCAACTGTTTTTTTCTCGGAAAACTGGGGATTTTCCGTTTCTATGGAAGAAAAAGAATGACAGACTGATATAGTGGTTAGATGTTGACAAGTACATGTAGAATCTCTATGAAGTTGGAGTTAATTTTATCTTACTGAAGCTTACAGAAGTTTCTTCTTAACATTGAGACGTATATTCTAATTATGAAGTCAAACATAGATGTCGACCACTACTTTTCATCGACCGTTACATTTTCGTGTCATCGTATTATGCTGTCCTATGATTGTTCATAGCGTATGTTCGTTTCATTTGTTTTCTAACGGTCAACAAAGAAAACTCCATCATACTAAGGAAAGCAAGACACTGTTGTTGTAAATAATTAGTAGCCGTAAAACCACGTCAAAGGTTTTCTAAAAATAATGGTGTCCATTAAAATATAGTTTAGGTAGGAATACATCCAGGATTAGGCCCATTCAGTTCAAAGCTGCATCCTATTTGTTATAGGAAGATCAGAAAACTGCGGGGTTTCCTCTGATTTGTATTCTAAACCATGTTTAATAGCCTCTCGATTCATTTAGTTACATGATCGTTCAGATTATACTCAGAGTTGTGATATACCAACGGATTCCAATTTTAAAAAGTTACGACTTGTCCTATCGCACCATATCATAAAATTGCCACCTATCCACTTTTAGTGATATAAAACGTGGTTGAAGTTTATTACTCTTCATCTAAACTTAATTTTTATACTAGAATCGAAACACTGAAAGCTGGCTTCCAGTTATATTTTTATTGAAATAGTCCTAGTGCTTCCTATACTTTCATGAGAAATTTTACCCAAAATCATAAATGTACTAGTAAATTAAGTTGTTTGAATATTATTTACCAATCTGTGTATTGAAATCAGTCAAACGGGATAGGAACCGAGACAAATGGGCATCTTCCATAATTGCTCCATTTTACATTAGTAGGAGAGAGGGAGCTAATAAGATGCAAAGAAAATTGGTCGGAAAAACTCGAATGATAAAGGAATGTGAATATAAGTAGTTTGGGTAAAACGAGGGAAAAATTTAATAGATACGACTTCCGCCGATTACTCATTGAGGAGCATAGGTTGCCCACTCACATTCCCCATCCAACTTTATCCTGGACAGTCCTTCCCACTTGCTATTCATTCTTTTGATGTCTGCTTCCAATTCCCGACGTAGTATGTTCTTCGGTCTTCTTTTGCCCCGTTTCCCTTCACGATTGCCTTGTGATGCAATTCGGTGATTTCTTCAATGTATATCCAATCCATTTTCAACGTCATTTTCTAATTTCCTCTTCAAATAGAACCTGGTTTGTTCTCTCCCATAGTAGACTGTTGCTGATGGTATCCGGTCAACGGACACTGATTATCTTGCGTAGACAACTGTTTACAAATACTTGTATCTTTTTGATGATGGTTATAGTAGTTCTTCACGTCTCAGCTTCGTACACTAGGACTGCCTTGACGTTCTTATTGAAGATTGTGACTTCGATATTGGTTGAAAGTTGTTTTGAGTTCCATATGTTCTTCAGTTGAAGGAATGTGGCCCTTGCTTTTCCAATCCTCCCATTTACGTCTGCATCAGATCCTCCTCGTTCATCGATGCTGCTTCCCAGATACGTAAATGTTTCCACATCTTCCAGAGATTCTCAACCAAGTGAGGTTGAGTTGGTGTTCTCTGTGTTATATTTAAGGATCCTGCTTTTTCCCTTGTGTACGGTGAGGCCTACTGATGCAGAGACTGCTGCCACACTAGTTGTCTCCATCTCCATTTGTTCGTGTGCATAGGACAGAAGAACCAGGCCATCTACGAAATCCAAATCGTTTAGTTCCACTCAACCTGTTCATTTTATTCTGTGCTTCCCACCTGATGTCGAGCTCTTCACCATCCAGTCAACTACCAGAAGAAAGAGAAAGGGAGGCAGCAAGCAGCCTTTTCTGACTCCGTTCCTCACTTGGAATGCATTTGTCAGCTGTCCTCCATGCACCACATTGCAGTGTAGTCCGTCGTATGAATTCCGGGTGATGTTGACGATCCTCTCGGGTTCACCATAGTGTCGAAGGTGTTTTCATAAGATGCTCCTATCAACACTGTCAAATGTTTTCTCATAATCGAGGGAGTTGATGTATGGTGACGAATTCCATTCAATTGATTGTTCAACGATGATCCGTAGTGACGCGATTTGGTCTGTGCACGGCCGATCCTCACAGAATCCAGCCTGTTGATCTCGAAGTTGGGTGTCTACTGAATCTTTTATATTGTCCAGTAACACTCTGTTGGGAACCTTTCCTGGTACTGATATTGGTGTGATTCCTCTGTAGTTCTCACATCTGCTCAGATCTCCTTTGTTTGGCATCCTGATGAGATATCCTTTCTAGTCTGTCAGCACTTGTTGTTCCTCTCAAATCTTCCTTAATAGAACGTGGAACATGTTTGCAGTTATTCCGATGTCTGACTTTAGTGCTTCGGCTGGTATATTATCAGATCCTGCCTCGGTTGGGGCACCACACACAAACCAAGTGACTTGTGTGGGGCATATTTATTCGGTGCCCCGTTGTACCAACATTTATGTGTCCACATAAATATGTAATGAATAATTGTCAGGTCCTTCTGCTTTCTCACTCTTGATTTGTCTGATGGCCATCCTGATTTCTTCTATCGTTGGTGGAGTAATATGTATAGGAAGATCTGTAGGTGTTGCTTCGATATCCGGTAGATTTGTGGAATTATGGTCTAGTTCGCTATTAGTACTGCTATAATGATGGACCTAATCCTAAAATTGTAGACTTTTCATGACGTGACTACCTAATATATGATATCTTCCGTGGAATCCTCATCATTACCTTCACTGACTTGTCGTACCGCAAGAGTCAGCAGCATAACGTCTAGTGCTTTTGAAGAACACATTTGGGCTAAAGATAGAATAATATATTTAATGTGAGTAAAGATAAGTTATGCAAACTGATCACGTCTGCAAGGCTGGGCCATGCCATCTGATTGAATGAACGAATGTTCCCGCATTCTCCATCGTTAACCTTCTCTTCGTGTCAATTGTTGAATATAAATCTTTTCAGTAATTATACGCTCGGCTTCAAAGGTCGTGTGGTTAGGGCCCAATGCCACTACAGATTCAATGAAACCGGTCTATTCAAGAGTTCCTCGAAGTGTTCCACCCTTCTGTTCTTGAATCTCAGTGACTGTCTTGCCTTCCTTGTTCTTGACCAATCTCTCTGGTTTCATCGTTTCTTCGTCGTGTCATATAGTTGTTTCATATTTCTTTCTCTTGCAGTTTTCTCTCTGTCGTTGCTAGCTCTTTCACATATTTCTGCTTGTCGACTCTAATGCTTTTGTTAACTTGCTTGTTTGCTTCCGTGTATTCAGCTTGTGCCTTGACTTTCTCTGTTCTGGTTCAGTTGTTGTTAGTTGATGTCCTCATGTTCTTTCTTTTTTGAATCTTGTCGAGGGTTTCGATAGAGATCTATTCCTTATGATGATGCTTCTTGCGGCCCAGCACCTCCTGACACGTTGAAGTTAGTGCTTCTTTGATCCTTTTCCAGTTGTCCTCTATATTAGTTTCTTCTGTCAGTAAACCCTGTAAGGCGTGGAACCTGATACCGAGATTTATCTTGAATTGGTTGAGTTTTTCACTATCTCGTAGGAAAACTGTATTGAACCTTTGTAATGCTGTTTTTCCAGTTTTTAATTGCTTCTTTAGCTTCAGTTTCAACTTGGCAAGCACCAGGTGGGGATCTGAAGCTATGCTAGCTCCTTTTCTGGTTCTCACGTCTTCGATTAACCTTCTAAATTTTTAGTGATGTAAATATGATCTATCTGATTCTCCATAGTTTGATCCAGTGCGATCCATGTGGTTTTGTGTATACTTTTGTGTTGTAATAGGTTGAGTGCACACAGATTTGCTTGTATCCCAACAGCCTCGTTCTTTTCTTCTAGTCCATGTCGTCCCATGATATATTCATATCCGTTGTCGTCCATTTCGACTTTGGCGTTTAAGCTCCCATCAGGACTGTCAGGTCCTTTCCTGGGCATTTCGCTATGATTGATTGCAACCTCTCATAAAATTGATTTTTATCGTCATTGTTGCTATCCTTGGTGGGTGCATAACATTGGATAACACTAATTGTGATTCCCTTCTTTGGACAGAATCAGAGCATCTCCCTGAGTGTGTGGAGCATTTTCCTCTTCGTGACCTGAGTACAGCAGCATCCCTCCCGTATCTAACCTTTTCTGTCCAGCTTGGGTCCAATGGGTTTCGCTGATTCCGAGAACCACCAAGTTGTATCTCTTATTTCCGTTGCTATTTGACTGGTCCTCCCGGTCTCCCACATTGTCTGGAAGTTCCATGTACCTACAGAAATTGTTTATCTGGTTTTTAAGCAAAGATGTATATTTGCTAGCAGTGGAATCCAGGACGCGCGTTTTGTCCTATTTGGGACTCGTCAGTTGGATGTACCTGCATCCCATATACCAACAAGAGACTGATCAATTGCAGTCCTAAATAACAATAGGAAGATACGAGTAAAACAACACCAAGTGTTGCTCTGGTTGTCAAGAGTGGCATCGGTTTCGTGACTTCCGAAGAGTCTTGGCTTTCATCATGAGGCGTCATAATTCTTCTTTCAACTCAGAGGGCAGAGTTTAAATTATTTAATTTATTTGTTCTAGTTGGTGTATTTTTAGCAATGTTGTTTTCTACGGGATGGTGTTACCGACCCCGTGCCCAACCCCTCTCCTTTATGTGGGCTTGGGGTGGGCAGTAACCCTAGAAGAGGTACAGGAGGAGTTAACAATAAATATAGTAAATTTAATAAGTGTATGCAAATAATTTAGGATATTGCACGACAAACTTCCATTATATCATACGCCTAGAAATTATTAAAAATAGAACTGTTTATTGAATATGAACAAGTAGTATAAAGCGATACACAAAATATAAGTCGGATGAGATGAGAATACTGACGGAGATTTCTGACTAACTTAACAGTAACAGTGACGTAAAATATATAAAGGCATGAAAACATTATTTTTACTAAGGAAACCGACAAAAATGCTGTTTTTGATAAGGATCATCGAAACAAAAACAAATTAGCTTTGCCTTAAGGTTTATAGAGAAGATAAGTAGGGAGCAGATGTCTGTGAGAGAAGAAAGAAGAAGGGAATTGCATGATATTGAGACTATGGTAGAAGTATGAATTGCACGAATTTCTTTTTGTTTGTTATGTCAATGCAAAATTAGGAAAACGAAAGTTGTAGAACGAGTATTAGAATAGATGTTCATATTGTTAGATTATTACATCACGGATTAATTCCAGTTGAATTTACATTGAAAACCTGGCAGTACTGAATAAATGTTGGCTTATAACATAGTACATCTCAGCAGTCTATGATTTTTTGTGGTTAAACATGAATATCCAGAAACTTCCTTTTTTTAGTAGTCAGTCAAAAGTGAGAAATGCGGGACTTGTTTCACCAGTGAAAATGGAAATTCTTTCCAGTTAATCATGTTGTTTCATATATCAGAACAATAGGAATTGGTTAGTAAGAATCCATAGTTCATGTCACTTACTGTATGGTAAGAGATCGTTTAGGATGCTGACCGAGACTCACCACATCCTATGTTCACCTATACAATAAAAACGACCCAGTCAGGGATCAAGTTTAGGTTTTATAAGTTTCAAGGTAAGTGGTTAACCACTGGGCCGTTGGGGTCAGCATACAAACGATTTCAAACATTTTAATTAAAAAAATTTGTAAAACAACTAATTCTTATAGTTTTTTATGAATGGAGCCTATGAACATGTAGGATATAATTTAGAAACATGATTATATGGGAGAGATTATCGATTTGTGTTTAATCAACGTAGTTTTAAAAGATTAAAATATTCAAAGCACTGACAAATACTAGTATCTTTGGATATATCATTTTTTATCAAATGGAAATCAGCAGTCTATACCATTCAAAACTTGGTTATAATTTGCTTTCAAGATGAAGTAAGGTTTATGTTTTGTTGAAAAAGACAAGTTGTGAAGATAGATCACTGCAGAAACTAGCCAGAGGCTCAATATTTTACTCAATTTGGCCTGAATAGAAGTCTCGAATTCCAAGCTACATTGTTGGTGAGATGCTGGTAACATGCGAGTATCAGACTTATCTACATGAAATGTCTGCAGAGATGCATAGTCTGTTCATTAAAACTATGAATATATAGAGATGGATTATATCGTATCTTTTTTATTTCTCTAGTGACAGGAAAAAAAACTGCATAAGAGAGCAATTGATGATGGTATTATTCCGATCTCTCGCCCCTACTGATTAGATAACTATCTAAAGGTGATGAGCAAACTAACAAAACATTATACAAATGAATTTAATCACAACGTCAGTGTTTACAACAGCTTAATCTGGTACCATGTGAAATATCGAAACAATAATAGACAAGGGGAAAGATTATAAGTCTAATAATATATAGGACAAAACAGAATGTTTTAATACTACTGGGTTGTTGCATATTTTTATTTATTCTATGGGAATAGATGCAAAAGGAAATATATAGTGTTACTTTACATGTTTAAATCAAGTGGTCAAGCAGCTGGTATCGCTGTGTTGTCTTGTTATATAACTAATTAGATAGATTCAAGAAAATAAGATGTGTAATCGAGGTTCACAGCTCATTATGAGAAGGGTTGAACACAAATAGTTGTCGGAGCATCCAGTCTGATAGAAAAAATGATAAACATCAAAATTTGTCTAAGAAATTAAAAGAATATATTATTCACAAGAAACATATTTATATATTTTTTACCAAATACCGTTAATATACATACGATTGTAAAACTACTCTCGTGTACTCTATACGCAAAAAGCTTTGCAACTTACATCTGGTTACCTGGATGTGAAGTTATTTGATTAACTGCTGGGTGAAAACTACTTTAACAATCCTAACATAAGTTTTGTTGAATAAAACTAAAGAGCATTGAGCGAAGATTTCTTTTCGGTGAAATCATTTACTTAAGTTGTACATTCGTATTTACAGTTACTGTGGACTGTTGTAATTAATATGTAAACACATTAGCTACAAATAGACGATTACTCACAAAAGGACATAAGTCTCGATTATTTGATCCTCTGATAAATCAGATTTCAGTGCGATGAGGGTATTTTCCTTATGGATCGTCATGACTACTTTACCAAACTATCCTCAATATTATCGGATGCTGTCAAATTCTCTAGAGAAATCATTCAAAAGATGCGACTGAGAAAACTGAACAGATGTTGACTAAAATCCTAGGGAAGGTGAGTTTATTATTAGTTGTGACCTCTATGAACATCTAAAACCATCGGGTTCCGCTATATCGAGACTATACGAGCTACCAAACGTTCATTCGAAGAATATCCCCCTACTTTTCATACTTGACATGTGTTGGGATATTCAGGAAAATATCCCAGAAATTATCCTATTAAGTCTAATGCTATTCTTGGACTTGGATATGGTATGATTTTCTTATTGGTCAGTACTTATTTCACGTGTTATTATTTTCCTACTGGTAAATATTGTACAATGTTATTTTCTATTTCATGGTACGTTGTGGTCTGATTGACTGGTATATAAACAAAGTATGTTTGAAATATAATGATTCATATATCCCCCGACCATTGTTGCTACCTTGACGTGGTGGTCGGGCTTGCCTATCGTGATGAAGCAACCGAGCTATACTGGCTGGAACAACCGTTCCTCAAGGTCCTACCATGTCAGACAGGTCGGTTGAAGAGCGGTAAGACTAAAAGCAACAAACCTAAGGTCCGAAGGCGAAGTCGTACTGCTGACCGTACATAAGTGTGACAGCAGTAAGGTGTTTCCTTCAGACAACCAGCATGACAGCGATGCTGCCTTCCCACAAGGAGGGGTGGGGTTAGAAAAGGTCGACCCTTAAAAATGCACACCTCACCTTGCCTCACGGATTTCCGTCTCCGGCGGTAAGGCTCTTTGAAGAACGGAGCTAACACGTCAAAAACCTTCCACGAAAAGGCCGTGCGCGACCGGCCTCAAGCAGTTGTCCCTTGGGCACTGCGGTCACGCTCTCAGGTCGCTGAAACCGCCTCTAATCCAATTTCCTTTTCAGGTACCTCCAGAAGAACCCTTCCACGGTGTGGGCAACCGGGAAGTGATAACCGCCCTCATACCTCTAACAGCACCCAAGACCACTGTATTCATAATCAACCTTCCTCTTCAATTCCTATTATTCCTCCCACATCGACTTTCAACCCTAAACTTCCTCCTTCGGCTTCTTCCTCAAGTGTCACCATAGCCAACGATTCTAGTGCTCAAAACTCTGTCCCAGGTCTACTGAAACCTCACTCCAAACTACACGTTAGAGCTTTCAACGTATGCACTCTATGTAAAATCGGTCAGCAGACTTCCTTGGCTAAAACTTTAGAGTCTCTTTCCATTGATGTATACTGTGTCTCCGAAACACGCATACAGGATTCCAGTGTGGTCATTCACTTGACCTCACCTCGGCAAAACGGAGAGCCAACGAGATACACCCTACGTGTATCTGGTGACCCGATGGCCAGTTCTCGTGGACTGGCAGGTGTAGACATAGCACTAAGCATGAGGGCGGAACAAGCACTGCTAGAGTGGATCCCCGTCAACAGTCGTCTATGTGCTGTTCTGCTAAACGGCTCCGTAAGAACTCGGAAGGATAGGGACACACGTCGTTGCCTTTTTGTCGTTTCTGCCTACGCTCCCACCGACTGCAGCTCAGATGATGTGAAAGATGAATTTTACAGAAAGTTATCTGAACTTCTTCATAAAGCTAAACGCTCAGACATAGTACTCGTAGGGGGTGACTTTAATGCTCAGATAGGTAGCTTAAACCAAACAGAAAGGCATTTAGGTGGATATTTTAGCATTCCTGCACAGCGAACAGATAATGGTGACCGTCAGCTGCAACTGTGCTCAGACAATCGCTTATTTATAGCAAACACAAATTTTAAGCATTAGGAGAGACATCGTCTAACATGGCGACCCCCTACACCAAACCAACGATGAACTCAAATAGACCATATTGCCATCAGTCATCGTTGGAGAGGGTCGGTAGAAGATTGCCGCTCATTCTGGTGTACCTGCTTGGACTCCGACCACGCCCTAATACGGGCACGCATCTGCTTGCGCCTCACCGGACGCAAAAAAGCCACATTAAAAAGACCCATTAGAACTGAATTGAGTAAAGAGAAAACCAAAAATAGGTTCCAAGAACAACTGAGTTCACACTTAGGTAGTTCTGAGGACGAGGCTGACCCAGATGTTGCTTGGAAAGACATACAAGCAACTATGGAAGCAGCAGTGACATATATTAACAACTTAAACCACAGAGTTTCAAAGGACCAGTGGATTTCTTCAAAGTCTATCACACTGATGGATTCTCGCAAACTCGTCCCATCAGGTTCCGAACATGATGAAAAGTGACAACAAATCAGATCTAGGTTAAGAAAAAGTTTAAGAAACGACCGTGAGCAGTGGTGGGAAACGAAAGCAAAAGAGATGGAAAAGGCGGCGACTATAGGGAACACAAGACAGCTCTACAGACTAATAAAAGAAACTGGAATTAATAAGTCAAGTGTAAGTGAGATTATATCGGAAAAAGACGATACACTCATCTGCTCCCAGTCCAGGCGTTTAGAACGATGGGCGGAACACTTTAGGGAACAGTTCAGCTGGCCTTCAGCGACTCTACAACTACCGTCCATTCCCAGACAGCGTGAATGGAACATTGAAGTAGGTCCCCCAAATCTATCAGAAGTTCAGAAGGCTGTAGTTAATCTGAAACGAGGAAGGGCAGCTGGTCCAGATGGATTGGCTCCAGAAGTCTTTAAGGATGGTGGTCCAATTTTAGCGGTTATGTTGACTAATATTTTAGCTAAGATCTGGGAGTTAGATGTCATTCCATCTGACTGGTCACAATCACTTATCGTCCCAATATATAAGAAAGGATCAAAATCATCTTGTGACAACCACAGAGGGATTAGTTTAACAAATATAGTATTTAAAATACTAACCTCAATAATAATCAGACGCCTAACTAAAACTCGTGAACTGCAAACACGAGAAAACCAAGTTGGCTTCAGACCTGGTGGCTGCATCGACCACATATTCACCATTCTTCAGGTTCTAGAACACAGGCATACTTATCGGCGTCCGACGATGGTGGTCTTTCTTGACTTAAAAGCAGCATTTGACTCTGTAGACCGAGAGGTTCTATGGCAGTGTCTGTCATTGAAAGGCGTACCTCAAAAGTACATAAACCTTGTAAAGGCTCTTTACTCGAAAACTACTAGTCGAGTCAGAGCTTATGGCGAACTGTCATCTAGTTTTGCAACCTCAAGTGGTGTCCGTCAAGGATGTCCACTCTCCCCATTTTTGTTTAACTTCATCATAGATCTACTGATGGAAATAACTTTCTCGTCGACTGAGTTCTCGGGTATTGATCTCCTTCCAGGAGGTCCACTTATCGACTTAGAATACGCAGATGACATACTCCTGTTTGGTGAAGACGCTGACAAAATGCAGAGTCTTCTGGTAGCACTGAGCAACAATGCCAGGATGTTTGGAATGCGCTTCTCTCCCTCTAAATGCAAGTTGTTGCTTCAGGACTGGTCTGCGTTAACACCTGAACTAAGGATAGGGAGTGAAGTAGTCGAACGCGTTGACAACTTCACTTATCTTGGAAGTCTGATCAGCCCTAATGGGTTGGTATCGGACGAAATCTCAGCACGGATTTGAAAAGCTCGTTTGGCTTTTGCCAACTTACGTCACCTATGGCGAAGGCGAGATATCCGTCTATCAAGAAAAGGACGAGTATACTGCGCGGCAGTCCGTTCTGTTTTAATTTACGGCAGCGACACATGGCCATTAAGAGTAGAAGACACTCGTAAGCTATTAGTATTTGACCACAGATGCCTTAGAAATATTGCTGGCGTCTGCTGGGATCACCGGGTAAGTAATAGTGAGGTTAGACGCAGGGTACTAGGAAGTGATGGTAAATCAGTTGATGAGGTTATGAATCTTCATCGACTGAGATGGTTGGGCCACGTGTTACGTATGCCTGAACACCGATTACTACGACGTGCAATGCTATCCGGTATTGGAAATGGTTGGAAGAAAGTTAGGGGTGGCCAAACAAAAACGTGGCATCAGTGCTTGAAGTCGCTAACTTCTAGTCTGAGCCATGTTGGTAGATGCAGACTACTTGGTTGGGGTCCGCGTGACTATCGTAACCAATGGTTGGAGACTCTTGGTGACATGGCTCAGAATCGATCACAATGGCGTCGGTGTATACACTCCCTGTCTTCCCTTAAACTATGAGATTAAAATCGCTTCATATCTTTCTTTCTACGAACCAATTCTTTCTTCTTGTACTATATCTCTATATGCAATCTTTCTCTTATATATTACCACCTTTTACCTAACCACTGTTATGAATCCGGTGTTCATCTTGTTGTGCTGATGCGGTATGGCAACCTGGACCGATTCACACGTGTGCCTGGTCCTACGTTGTAGCTGACTGACTGATTCATATATCCGAGGCTGAGACTTGCGTTCTGGACTCAACTGCTGGGCTAGACAGGGAAGCGGGACCAATCAGAACCCTAGGTCGTTCTACGTGTTTGTGCTACTTTGGTCCGATCGATAATTCGCTACCCTCAAATCTGCC